TATAGTATTAAGCAAATTGCTAAACTTCAGGTCAATACTTTCCGTCGCCGAAGGGTGTGGGTGTGGGTATGAGTACGCGTATGAAACAATAGAACATCTCAAACCCACACCCACCCACACCCACACCCCACACCCACACCCACACCCCACCCACACCATCCACACCCACACCCACACACCCACACCCACACCTCACACCCACACCTCACACCCACCCACACACCACACCCACACCCATCTATTACTTTCGTTATACCTTGAATATTACCTTCTTTGTCAATCCACCATTGTTCAAAACCAATCGGTTTTTGTTGAGTAATATTCTGTTGATAGAAATCTTTTTCAATATATTTGAAGAATTGTTGAATGAATTTGGCTGCTGTTCTTTGATCTTTCATTGTGGGTTCACATTCTAATTTAATCGGATGGAGATGTGTTGATGCTGCATAGTTCAGTGCTTGGTTTGAAATTTGAAATGGATTTTCGTGATTTACATGTTGTTTATTATTTAAATCGTTGATATTACTTGTTGTATTGCCTTGTTGTTGAGCGAAACTGGTTTTAGTCATATTCGAATTTGAGTTTGTATATGTTCTGCTATTGGTTGTTAATGATTGATCGGTTCTCGAGTAATTATTTCTTCTTTTGTATTTTGAGTGTTTTTGTTGTTGATAATTACTTTCATTATCGTTATTTACATGGTCGCGATCATCATTATATTGATATTCACTTCCATTGGTTCGGTGTCGCTTTAATGATGGAGACTGATTACGTTGATCCAAAATTTGTAATTGCTCTAATGTATTTTGAAAATTTATACCATCACATAAATCGTCTTTTTCTTTTTGTGTCACATTAATATACCTATTGTCACTCATGCTCAACTTTTAATTAATTTTAGTATAAGTATTAGTAATTAAATTAATCAGTAAAACGATGGACAAATCAATAATTCGATAAATAGATCAATAAGTAAATAAAGGTTATTGAGTTCACTTTAGTAGATAATAGGGTGAAACATGCACGTATACGGTCGATATACATGAAGGCGAATGATGTTTCTATGGTATTAATAGTGCCACTCCTGGATGTGGTGGATCGACAGTTTCGGCAAATTGTCTCTCTATGAATGTTTCATCTATATGTCGTACACTAAACCCCTCCCCATAATAGAAGCCCCTCCCATATTAGAAGCCCCCCCTTATTAGAAGCCCCCTCTGAGATGAACAACGTGTTTGACGTATTAGAAGCCCCCCTAATTTTTCGAAAAAATTTTAAAATTTTCAAGATTTTTTTTCGCATTTTCATGCTAAAACTGCTAAAATTTTTCGATTTTCAGGTAAAAAGTTGGCTGACTCTTATCTAGCTTAGCTAACATCTGAAAATAATGTCAAAAATCTTCTGGAAAACTCATAAAAACCTTGAAAGTCGCTAAAAACCCTTGCGAACCCTTTTTCCTGGCAGTTTACGAAATTTTTTTGAGACTTAATAGAAGCCCCCTCCAGAAGCTTCATATGATAGACATATTAGAAGCCCCCCGGGGGCTTCTAATATGGGGAGGGGTTTATGTAATTCGAGTTATTGCTATTACACAATTAGCAATACAAATTTTTGTGACACCTGCTTTTGACAGGTGAAGACATTTTGGATGTGTTTTACATGCTCGTAATTCGAGATAGACATATCAATAATTTTGTGTATTCTTTTAAAGTTCCTCCTTCTGTTAACTAAAAGTCTACAATGAGAGTGTGGGTGTAGGGTGTGAGTGTGGGCGTGGGCGCGCTTGCGCGTGCAATTATTCTGCAAATCTTAGACCAAATCCACAGCCACATCTACAGCCCAACCACACCCAGTGGAATACTTGTACAAATAGGATCATAATCCGCACCAAATTCAGATGGAATAAACCATTTGATGTCTACATCAGTTGCAGATTCAACTAAAGTTGTACCAAAACTATTGAATAATCCTTCTCTATCCACAGTCAAAATGACCATATCTTGACCAATAAGAGGTTTAGTCAATGCATTTTTATTTCAATAATCGACTTCGATCACTTTAACATAGGATGGAAATGTTTTTTTTTCGAATTATTACGAGAAGGAATGCTTACATTGAAGGTAGAATCAGCAAGACGAGTTGACAGAATATTTTTATCAACAGTAAAATGTTTTTTGTAGGTATTTATAGTCATTTTTATCATTAGTCAATCATATACAACCTCTTAGTTACTAATATTTTTATACTTTATTTTAAGTCGTAACGATGACAACACACCTCTTTGTCCTTTCTACGAGGTAGAAGTGTACATGCGCTCGAGATATTCTGTAGTGTAACGTATGCATTATCACTACGAACATATCAACGAAATATACCATTTTATCTAGAATAAAGACAAGTGAACTGCTCCTAGGTAGCCATCAAAAAGTTACTATTAGTATATTCAGATAACTCTCAAAAAATACATCGATTGAATTGTAAAAGTTCCTGTATGATATGCAACAACAATTTCTGATTATCCATCATCATTCAAATCATCATCAATGACAACAAAAGGAACAGACTCATGCATTGCGTGCTAGCGAAAGAGTTTATTATCGACCTTAGAAGATATGATAAAGGGAGAGTCAGATAAAGAGATATACTTGAAGAAAAAATCCTCAGAAACAAACGAAAAAACAAATGCACACAATAAAAAAAATCAATGTAGTAGGACATAGAACAGAAATTTAAAACAGAAAGGCGGCATTCAATGAGAGTCCGTAGTTGTGGGTGTGGGTGTGGGGGGAGGTGTGTGAGTATGGGTTGAAGACGAGAACAACATCCACACCCACACCCTAACAAACACATCCGAAAAGATTATCAATTGAAATCATTATCCTCTGCTTCTTCATTCTCAATTTCATAGTCCTTCAAGACCTACTGTTCTTCATTGCGAGTCGGGTCGTATACCTAACCGGCCATTCGAAGAAACTCAACAGTAGGATCCAAATCCAACGTACGACAACGCTTCATGAACATGTATTTGACCAAATGAGATCGGAAGGAGTCCTTTTTGCGATGATATTGTACCATGACGATTTTTGCATGTCTCCAGAAGCTTTCGATGGACTTGGTAAATGCACCAGTTTCAGAATCCTTGAAAGTGATCGAATGGTTAACCTTCAGATGTTTATAGCTCTCATCTCCCAAACTGTCGTATGAGTCTCAACAATCGAAGATGATAGTAGTTTCTGGGAGGATCCAGTCCTTGATCATAGGAGTCAATGTGACTGCATCTCTAAAATGTTAACAACTTAACATCATATTAATGCACTAGAACTTTTAATTCGTACTAATTTATCTCTCAAAATAAAACAAATCTTTTCTCAACTGGATTCATCACAAAACGGTCGGTTCCTCGTTCAAACATTCCAAACACCCATTAGCCTTCGACTCGATGATCTTTGTAATACTTCCTGCGTCCGAATTTGGATCCATCAATTTTCACTTCAACTTCATGGTCACCTAACTTTCGCTTATTAAGAATGAAAGCATCGTAAATCACTTCCCGGCAAAAAGAAGTCCAATTCACAGCAACCTGTTGGGAGATCTCTGCTTGCAATTCTAAAGTACAAACAGGTAAACTACGCAAAACAAACGAATCAGACATGCAATTATTGGTTACCAATAATATTCAAACCAACGTTCATAACCCACAAATTCACGAAGAGCAAGATTTGCCAAATGGATAAGTGAGATCGAGCGAACAACGTTCCTTTGCGAAATCGTCCTTGATAAGTGCATCTCTTGTTCTCCCGCTTCTTTTTTTCCAATTTCGCCCCTCAGTTTCAAACCAATTGTGGCAACTCCATCGCATCAAGTCGAAGCAGACTAGAACATTCAGGGCACATATATAGTTTGACTCCTCAGGAATTAGATTCCATTGTTGCAATTGTCGGACGAGAGCTTCCTTCTCTTTACACACATCGAGAGTTGATCGAATATTGAGCGGCATATCTTCAGGAATAATCAAATATGAAAAAACTAAGAAAACTCTTTTTAAGCAAAAGAACAATTTGAATTAGGACGAAATTGTTGAAACGAAACAAAATTTCATTCAAAAATTAGGTAAGGGGACCAAACACTTTTGAAACTTTTTAATAGTCTAAAATGATGTCTTGATGAATGGTGGCCCAGTTTTTTTAGTTGTTCTATCGTTTTCTGCGCATAATAAAACCCTAGAAGTAAAAACGTTGCAAAAAGAAAGGTGTTTATGTAAAGTATACTTATGCCGAAATATCTAGTATTTGGTATAATATTTAGTGAAGATCTGATATGTTTGATAGAAGATCGAATACTTTTTTCATCTTTACTTATTTTTTTTGTTCATTTAGAGGTCTTTTTTAGCATGAGTGTTAAAACAACAAATCTCTCGTGATCGACAAGTATTGGTGAAACAAAGGCAATCATTCGATCATCAAATGTCAAGACGAAAATTGAAATTGGTGAAGATTGACTATGTATTTCGTCGAATAAGAATCAAGCTATTATGTTATGTTCTCTGAATTTTTTTAGGAATATGTATTTAAAGAAAAAACCAGTCAAAAAGATTCTTAATGCAATTCTATCAATAAGCCGATTTGATGCGTGTTTTAATTAATACAACAAATTATGATCATGATCAAGTTAAAGTTAAAATAGATATTACATATCAGAGATGGAATCAGTTCGATTTGGTTCGTAATCGTTTATACCCGCTATGGTTATTTTCGTTTTGTGGATTCTTTTTTTTATATTAAAGAAAACAACATCAAAAGAAATATTCAGGTTACAATCAGATGTCGCTTGCTATAAAGATAGTTTTAATATTTTTCTGATTAGAAATTTGCATAGACGAACAGCAAACCGTGTGGAGAAAAACAACGCTTGTTTATCGTACACTGTAAATTTTTTTAAAATTCTACTATTTGGAAAATCGATTTTAAATAAGCTGAAGTATTTTTGAGGTTTTATGGTTCATTCGACAAATTTTCAATACTTCAAAAATGCTTGATTTTCCAATTTACAGAGATTGAATTTGATTTTCGAAAGAAATCATTTTCTACAAACTAAAACATCAACATTGATTTTAATAAAACTCGAAAATCAATGCTGGTTTGAAAAGATCATCTGAACAATGATCGCTATCGAGCCATTGTTAATTCACATATATAAGCCGGCCGATAATGTTTTTCATTCATTATATTCTTTAGCAGCTAACTAGTGAGTTGATAACTTGTATTTTTAAAGTTGCTCTGTAAGTCAGTTCAATTCAAATTCTAATTATTTATTCATGTTATTTGATGTATTTAGATGAATTAAATGTTTATGCTATTATTTAAATTATTTACTCATGTTATTTGATGCACTTATATGAATTAAATATGTCAAATATAATTTAAGTGTCAATTTAAATTTATTATTCATTTTATTTGATGTATTTTTATGAATTAAATGTTTAAAATATTATTCAATTTAAATTCAAATTATTTATTCATATTATTTGGTGCATTTATATGACTTAATTATTTAGAATATTATTTCAATT